GGGTGGAGGGGCAGGTGGGTGCCCAGGGTGTGGGCTTTGCTCTGGGATCTTGCCCAGGAGTGCACGCTCACCCCCACGAGCAGGAGGCTTCTGGCTGTGAAGCAGACTGGCTGCTCATTCGCTGCAGTGTGAGCCTGTGGAATGTGTCCCGAACTCAGGCTCCCCTGACTTGATCTTTGTGAGCCTGGCTGTGATTTTCTTGTCAGAGTCAGAAGCCTGCAAGTGGAGGCCGTCCAGCCCCAGACCGTGCCCTGCCCTCGTCTCCACACGCCAGACTTGTCTCTCCGTCAGGAAGTGCTCATTTAGAGCATTATTTATTCTTATTTACATTCTTCTTAGCGGTTCATTCTTTAGTTCATCTGGGTTCGTTTATTCACTCAACAGACACTGGAGGCTCCCTAGGCGCTCCATGCTGGCTTTCCTTAGTAGTTAAAAATGAAACATATATTCTGATGTCCAAAACCTTCCTAAGAATAGGAACCAGAGCCACGAATCACTACTTCCACGGCCACAAAAGTGTCCACGTGGGTGACTAGGCTCACACCACAGAGACAAACAACTCCACACTTCGAGGCAGACAGGAAGCAGAAACATAGTTTTGTTTTCTTTTTCCCTTTCCTTTTTCTTGCTATCATAACATTTCTAGAGCTAGCCGGCAGGAAGGTGCTGTCATAGATACTGAGAAGCATGGACTGAGGCCAGAGGTATCTGTGCATGGCCCTTGGTGGTACTGTGGTAGTAGGTGTGTGTGTGCAAATTGTACACGGCCCCTCAGAGCCTTGGCCACGTGTGTGTGTTAACCTCCTTGCATGTTTTATTGGACCCAGAAAGAAGCCACTTAGATGCAACTTCTGAAGACGTGGGCAGGAGAGAGTGAGCACCGGACGCGGGAGCCTCAGTTTCCCCATTTTGATGGGGGTAGGGGCATAGCGGCTGCCTTCCATCTGGGCACCCTTCTGGGCTCTGAGCCCCAGCAGATCTGCCTTCTCTGTGTGGGAATGGACCATCATCCGTGTGTGTGTGTGTGTGTGTGTGTGTGTGTGTGTGTGTGTGTGTATGTGTACATGTACCCCTGGGGGAGCTGGGGGAGAAGTTGGGAGCAGGTGGGGTCTTGAACTCATTCTGGTTCCTGATTTCCAAAGACATGCCTTCATTTTTGGGGGGCTTCTTTTCCTGTTTCTGCTCTTTAAATGCTGGCAGAAGCATTTTCAAGATGATGGCTATTACAGCCATTATTTTTCTAATTTCTCTTTTGAGTGAAATCCTTTTTTACAGAGCAGAGAAGGAGCGAAAGGGACTTTTTTTGTTCTTGACAAGTAGAAGGAAGCCATGCTTTTGGCAGGAGAATGGGAGATGCTCTGGGAGTGAGTGGCTGTGGCCGGGGCGTGCGCTAGCCTGGCCTTCACAAGCAGATTCTCCTGCTGTTTCCAATCTGTTGCCCCCAGGAGCTTTCAACGTGGCCTTGGCTTTGAGCACCGAGGCTGGGAGTCCTCTCCCGGTGGCGGCTGGCCACGCTTCATGCCCTTTGATTCCCGTACTTGGCCCTCTGTGTCCTGTATGAATCTCAGGCCATCTCTGGGCCAGCCACTGGCCTCCTTGGCCATATGCTTAGCTCTAAAAGACAGAAACCGGACCCAGCTGGTTCACAGCCACCTTGGGCCTGGGGGCTGAGTCTGTGTTTGGAGGGGCCTCAGAAAGTCCTGGGCAGGGCACACCAGTCACACTGGCACTGGAGGATGGCACTCCTGGCTGCTCTTGGACTCCGTTCTTTGCTTTCTGGGTGGCTCTCTCCCAGCTCCTGTTAGGCCAGTGGAAAAGGAGGCCCCAGGCCACTGGAAGTTGTTGGTGACCATCCTGTTTGTGCTGATTTGTGTGTGTGTGTGTGTGTTCAAGCCCCAGTACTGGGGCTTGAACTCAGGGCCTTGCACTCTTGCTTGGCCTTTTTTAAAATTTGATTTTTCTCTTTCTGCTCTACTACATGAGACACAGCTCCACTTATGGCTTTTTTGCTGGTAAAATTAGAGGGAAGAGTTTCTCGAATTTACCTGCCCAGGCTGGATTTGAACCTTGATCCTCCTATCTCAGTCTCCTGAGTAGCTAGGATTGCAGGTGTGAGTCACAGTGCCCAGCTGTTCATGCTGCTGTCCTAGGTAATCCTTGGATAGGAGGCCCCTGCTCTCCTCCCCCTCCCCGCTTCCCTAAAGCAAGGCAGAACTTCACCCCGCTGCCCCCCTTCCCACTCAGGGGCCCCACCTGCCTCTCCCAGCCTCTCCCAGGGCTCCACCCTCTTCCACTCAGAGGTCCCATCTGGCTCCTGCTTTCTAGAAGGCTCGTGCTGTCTTCTGGTTGCTTTGTGTGTTGGTGTCTATGTGCTATGGCTGGTGTGCCTGGCCCCTTGGGCTTGAAAATGGGAGCTGGTGATCCTCAGAGGGACTTCTCCCCCGCCGCTCCCCGTGGGGGTGGCTGCAGACTGGACCCACAGGACTGCCCCTTTCCTGAGCCTCTGCCCTTCTTCTCCCTCATCTGGCCATCCAACGTGTTCAGGCGGAGCTCCAGTGCTGTTCCCTGTAGCTTTCCTACAAGTTCCATGAGACTTCGGGTATTTGTGATGTCTAAGTCAACATCATGGCCTGACAGGGCAGTGGTGGCTGCTTCTGCTTCTGCTTCTGCCTCTGCTTCTGCCTCTGCCTCTTCCTCTTC